TCACTATCCTTTTGCTCATTGACCTCACGCACAGCAGCACTCGCGAGTCTCAGAAAAAAAGATTTCCCAGGATTAGCCAGCTTTCCAGAACCATCCGTCCACCTTCCCTCCATGATCATCTGCATTTTAAATGCCTCCCAACTCGTACACCATGCTCGCTTGATTTTTTGTATTACAAAAGAATCGCAAGGTTGAATTAAATGTGTGGCATTCTTAGGAAAGTATCTTATTTCAGTATTAATCCCAATGGCAGCTTGGGAAGTGAGACTGTGTTGTTATGGCCGCTACAGTTAGGGACATACAGTATGCGCTTTCGGCCACCTGGCAATGCTCTAATAACACGTCGTTTTTGCATCCATTGATGCATTACCTGCGAATCCATCCAGCCTTTAGGTCGGCTACGGTAGGAGATACCTGGGAAATTGTCAGGTACACCACGGATAGGATAACTCCGGCATTGATTTTTGAAAACCATAAACGGATTCTCGATTTTTGCCTCAACACCTCCACTGAGCCTTACCAACATAGTCATTCCCTCTCCTCCAGATGCCACATCTGCATACTTAATTTCTTCATTCCCATAAATCCCAGCGTGCGCCCGTTATCATAGTTGATCACAAAGTGTGTCTCATCAGCGTTGCTCACATCGCTTTCGTTTAGTGTGCCAGCGCGAAACTCACGACAAAGCTGCCCGAGATGAAAAGAGACTTCCTTTTCTATGAAAGCCTCCTTGGCTGGGCTCGTCAACAGCTTTCTGGTATCGGCTCGACTCACAATACAAAAAAGATCAGCAAATGTCTGAATCCATCGGGCATTTGTCTTCATGATTATGGGAACATCTGTGCGCGGATCCATAAAATTTAGAGAGTACGACGGGGATGTACTGTGTTTGATGAGGTGCACTGTCAGTGCACGAAGGTTCCGCAAATTCAACTTGACCCCCAATCTCCTCAAACGATCAAACTCTTCAACCAAATCCTTGTGTAGAGCCAAAACCCAGGCTTCTCTTTTACGTCCCCTACCAGAGCGTGTTTTAGTAAATACTCGCGTGAAACCGTTACGCGAAACACGCGTGATGGAGCATCTTTTGTCTTGTAACACCACCTTGCCTTCTTTATCCGTAAAATCTGACCTCGACTTCCAAATGCGGCTTGCCCGCACAAGGTTTGCGTTTCGGGTTCCGCGAAAAAGATCCGGGAATTCGGCAACGGCTTTAGATGCGATACATGTTTCCTCGTCTGTCCGTACAGCCTGAAGCATCCATTTAACGATAGTCAATCGTTGCGACAGCGTCAAAACGCGCTGCAAGCTACGCTTTTTTGTCGTGTCTGTAGTTGGAACTTCGTTCCTGTTGATTACAGATGCATTGGATGCATCTGTATTTGTCCCCTGGTTCGTGGTCGTCGAATGGCCTTGGTTCAATTTGCCATTGCGAAGCTTTGCGCTCTCGAGAGCGGCAATAATAGGGGAAGGCGATGCCGGCATTGGGAGGAGGGGGAATGAAGCGAAGGTGGTGGGAGGAGGGAGAGGGAAGTGAAAGTGGTGGGAGGAGGGAGATGGACGTGAACGGAGGGGAGGAACGTGAAGTTGTTGGGAGGAGGGAGAGGGACGTGATCGGAGTGGGAGAGACTTGAAAGTGGTGGGAGGAGAGAAAGGGACTTGAATGTGGCGGGAGGAGAGAGAAGGACGTGAAAATTGTGGGAGAGAGGAGAGGGTCTTGAACGTGGCGGAAGGAGGGTGAGGGATGATGATAGTGGTGGGAAGAGGGGAGCGACGTGAACGTGGTGGGAGGATGGTGATGGACGTGGACGTGGTGGGAGGAGGGGGAGCGACGTGAACGTGGTGGGAGGAGTGGGAAGAATGTGATCGTGGTGGGAGGAGGGAGAGGGACACGAAAGCGGTGTTGCGAATTGAGATCTGGTATCTTTTTCGATGTAATGCCTAAGAGTAAGCTGATTTGGGAGCAGGGGGGCAATCAGGTTACTGTATCTTTGTGGGATCAGAGTAGAGAGCGGGCGAAGGAAGTGAAAAGTAGCGAAACAATGATTTACGTGGTATCGTGCGTATCTTCGTTGTCGTCTTTTTTCTGTTGCAGCTGTGTGGACGTGTGCTTTATACTGATGATGTGTTGGCAAGTTGTGTTAGAATATGTCGTGCACAAGAGTACGTGATATGTTGTGATGAGCACTGAGGTTGCATTTGATAATCGTTGCATTTGAATAAAAGTGTTTGAATGAAGGGACGTGAGAGGCATGTCCGTTGGAGTGAGGGGTCGTGAGATATCCGAATTCAAAATTATCATAATGCCTTTTTTGCCGGTTGGTGATGTTTCGTCCAAATTGTAAAACCATGCAGTATTTCGGTCGCAGACGCAACATGTACTGTAAACTTTTGCGTATTGTGAGCTCAACAGATCAATCGCCACGTTCCGGATTTTTCGTGGCAATACCGTGACACCCGTTTGGAGGAATTGTGACACTAATTTCAATTGGCCGTTTTTCAAATCACCGTTTTAGTGTCAGTGTTACTATTTCGCGTTGTTACTCTAACATATTGGTTACACTAATGACAGTAACTGGGTGTAGTGTATACAACGCAAACAAAACGTAGGAGATTTTTTGAAGTCCGGGGGAAATTTTTCCTGCGTGAGAGCATCGCTCTGTGGCTCTCTCCGCCCAGGTTTGCGATTAGATCACGGTGATGGGGTACAATAGTAGATGCAGCGTTGTGTAGTCTGGTGCCTATTATGAAGCCAAATTGCCATCCCCTAATCCTTGCGCTCCAGACAGAGACGCTTTTATTGCTGAAGGGGGGGGGGGGGGGGGGGGTGCTGGAGACGTCGGACAGAAACCTCAATATTAAAAGAAAAAGTACGTGTAATTGTGAGGCAATCACCATTTTTTGTGTTTTGCGACGGGGACACTCTCAGCCTGTCGTCCACTGGGACTTTGCGAAAACAATCACGGACACAGAAGAGGAGTGAGATTGCGCGCGGACACTATGATACTGCACCCCAACCGAGCCCTAAGATCGAACATCCAAGCAAATTTAAAAAAATAGAAAAGTCCGCCTGTTTTTGTACTGTATGCTAGGGTTGTTGCCCTCCTATACGTAGAAAGCTGTTTACAGCTTTCTAATATCTCAATCGCTTGCTCATGTGAGCAAGCGATTGAGATACAGGGGGGGACGCGCAATAGTGCCGCTTTCATTATTGCCACCCTCGAATTAGTGCCGCCAAAACCGGCAGACACAGGTTCTGCCACGTGCCATGCACGACGTCGTCATCGCCCACTCATTCGCCTCGGCTCAACAATTGGTGATGGCACCTCACTCAAAGACCCTAACATGATTCCTGAAAAGATCGCCAAAGCGAAGCGTAACTTTACGCGCCTTACGATTGCACAGAAAATCGAGGTTGGGCATCTGCTGCAGGTCGGGAATGCGAATACCACAGTTATGCGTCAGTTCAAAATTTCAGAGCGAACCATCCGAAACATCAAACGCTCTCTTCCTTTACTCCAACAAATTGTGACCAACACCGCTACAACGCTCGGAACAAAGACTTTGCACCCTGCGATTTGGAGGAATGGATTGAGATCGAGACTAATGAGCTTGTGGCAGAAGCTTCTATTAGTGATGCTTGCGATTCAATACATTATGGTGGAGAGCTACAGAATCAGTCTGCCAGTGATGCTATGATGGATGATTGTGTGGCAGAAGGCGAGTGTGAAGTTACGGAGAGGCGGGCCGTACCGAGTGCTGTAGTGTTAGCAAGGTTGTTTGGGTCTTTGGAGAGTCTGGGTGTGGGGTGCGATGTGAGCAATGCCTTATCGCACTTGAGGTCCGCAAAACGAGCTTTTCTAGAAGCTAGGCATGAGAGACAGGGTCAAAGGCAACAACAGCAGACTTTAATTGTGTAAACACGGGGTCCGATAGCCTTCTTCCTTTACTCGTCGTCGTCTCTAGGTGTATATATACTCCTCTCTAATGACAGTCTGTCCTGTGCGGTCAGATACTAATAACAGAGTTCTGGCCGGGTAGTGATTCTGCTTTCTGATTGTGCCGCTCCGAATTAGTGCCGTATTATTAGTCCTTACAGAGGGCGGCACTAATGCGTAGGGTCGACTGTACTTAGTCTTTAATTTCAACCACGTCGTTCTGGGATACGGCCGACTGTCTGGCGCCGTTACGCGCGGCAGTGCACCTTGGCCCGTTTCAGAGATGTTTTTTCGAACTATTTTGCATGTCCGATTTTTTTGTCATTGTCCGACAACTCCAGCACCCCCTTTATGCAACTGTCTGCGGTACTGGTTCTTGAGAATCCTGCTTCACAGACGTCCAGGACTGTGACCGCCCCTGTCGTGCAATTGATGTATCTTTCTTGTCGGGAAAGCTTCTGTTGCGAGCACCAAAACCAGCCTGGTGTGTGCTACTCGCCCATAGCTGTGCGACTGCTTTTAACATGAAATGTAAAGGTCGAACCTCTTGAAAATGTACACGGTTGTCTATCCGTGAAATATGCCAAGGTGTCTGTCAGACCGCACAGGACAGTCTGTTCCTCAGAGTACATACTTAACGAGCGACGACGAGTATACGACGAGTCATCGGTTTCCAGTTCACACAGTGTCCTGCAATCGTAGTTACGCTTTGCGTTTCGTTTCTCAGGAACGACTGTGACCGTGCATATTACCTCTGTACCATCGTACAGTATACTCATCGGATAGGTCATTAGGCCGTAGCGCCGAACTGCCAATGCTGCCGGGTAGTGCACGGCAAGAGGCCCCCATGACATGGAGCCTTGTTCTCTCTTTACGGTGTCCTCGTACAATGGGGACTATATAACTCATCATACTGTCATCTCGCAATTGCTCTGTCCCTCAAGACACCTCCTTTCACGATGTACATAAAATTATATCTAACGTTTGTCAGCCCGAAAATAAATGAACACACAGATGATAAGCGGCAGGCTATCAGAGATTTTAGCAACTTTTTGTTTATTGCGGACAGCAGCGACTAGTTCTCAAGGATCAAAGTCACCAGAAGCGAAGACACTCTTCATAGCTATTCTCCAAGCGTCCGAGCTTCAGAAAGGGGGGATTCTCACTTCCAATGGGACACTTCTCAACTTAGCTTCAACCACTGCTGACGACGGACAGATAGCATAAGTAGAAGTTCACAGCCAGAAAAGAAACTATTTAGTAAGAGCTGTAGTGCTTCTTGTGATAGTAGTACTTTTTCGGGTATCCATGGTGGCGCCTGCCCCGGTGCCTGCCCCGGTGTCCATGGTGGCGCTTGGGCGGGTAATACGGGTAATACGAAGAATACGAACGTCCCGCCACATCCATGTCTTCTGCAATGTCATTGTGCTCGATGAGATCGCCTTCCATGGGAATCTCGTCCACGACGGAAGCGACTGCGCACAGAGCCAGAAGGGCCAAGAGGAAAAACGTTCCGATACGAATCATGGCAGCAAGGGCAAAATGTGAGGTATGAGCTTGCTGAAAGTCTCTTTGGTTCTTGCTTCAGTTGGAGAGAAAGCTGATGAGATGGGGCGACTGAGTTTGGTGAGGACTGGAACTGCTACTTTTATAGCATTGTAAATCGCCAGAATCATGCAGAGTGTTCAACAGTTTCGAGTAGCAGTCACGAGTTTGATCAAGGAGCAGCAAAGCAAAACTGCTTCAAATGTTAGCTTTGCATCCTACGAAAGCAAAATATTACCATGCACAAGACCGCTTCAACGTTTGCTTCTTGACAGTGGTGAACTCAAGATTGCAATTAAATTAGGGGTGCCTCCTTGCGAAATCTTTTCATGATTGGTAGAGAAATGAATTGTGTTCGAGACAACTTGTCTGAACGTAAGAGACAAAATGGACTCTCCGTGATGTAAGATCTCGCAGAAGATTTGTCGCGCACAAGATTTGTCGCGCACAAGATTTGTCGCGCACATGATAGAAGGATGCATGCCATTTCTACATGCTTCACTGTATATTTCACTATTACAATTTGCCGGTACAGCTGAACCTTCTCGTTATCTCCCCTTACTTGTCACTCTTTTCACTTAGAAGTACATGCGTTCATAAAAGCTCGCACTCTGGGATTGAAATCGTTTCTACGGTTGTCCAATATTGGAAGCTCCCCTCTCAACGAGAATGTCCACGATTCGATAGCAAAGACATATTCGTGTACTTTATTTGGGTCCCAGGGAAACGAACAAGCTCAAACAAGGATAAAACATTATGGATGTCAACAATAAAAAGAAGTGAATCGAGGCATAAGAGAAATATCGCGTTTAAAATGAGATTTTGAAATATGGGTGCCATTGAATGAGCTATTGAGAGTACGGCTGGTGTCGCCTCTATCATAATATACAAAATTGTCACCAAACGCAACGCACAAGCTCCTGCATGTGTGGTGATATTGTGGTGATATTGTGGTGATATTGTGGTGATATTGTGGTGATGTTGTAGTGATATTGAGGATCATGCCCAGTTGTCGCAATCTTCTGAAAAACTACTGCTATGGACGGTGCCCTACGGCAACCTTCGATAACACCGCTGATATCGAAGGTTGCCCTAGGGCACCTGCGATAACACTAGTTTTTCGCAATATTGGGGAACGGATAAAACGAAACAGGCTTGATACGAGGGGGTGTGCGGAGGCGATCTCGACGGAGGCATCCACGGGGGTCTGCCGAGAGACAAGTGTGTTGTCACACGAGGCACACTCGGGCCGATATCAGCTCGAGGCGCATGTCCAGCCCTCGAGCTGATATCGATCCTCTTGCCCCGTGTGACAACGCATACTTGTTGGTTGGGGATGTTATTTCCCAAGAATAATATGGGATCTACCGTTCACCGGCACCTTTTTAGAATAAACAAAGACGGCGAATCGATGCAACTCGTTAAGTTACACATGACAGGCACATGACTTCGATTGCCACAGGGCAGCGAGAAGAAAATGATATGAGAAGTGGAATAGACGGGGTGAATGAGCCATCACAAAAGTGCTTTTGGAAGATACTTCAGCAGCGGATGAATGTAACGCAATTGCTCCATAGAGCATTACAAACATCAGAAGAGTATCGTGTGGAGGGCAATGCCAAGAAAAATGAATCATGTGGGCTGCATCAAACTGCCAGGAAAACAGTACAGTAGTGAAGCACAATTGTCGCTGCATCCACGATGGGCAACGTCAGCAGAGGGACCAAACCAAGTCCTAGAATAGCGAAAAAGGATTGTTGCCACAACACCACGAAGCCCGTCATTGGCTGCTGAGTCCCTCGGTATCAATATTTCATGCACTATGGCATGACTCTGGTCAGTGTTCGTATCAACCGATAGTTCGTTCTGTCCTGACCCACGACGATGCTTTGTCACCCACGTCTACCAACTGTCGTCGCGGGATTGAAGATATTATGACAGAGCTACTGTACCTCCTTTAAGGTTTGCACGCGGACGTTGTAGTATAGCTCCCTGCGACGCCGTCATGGTCACCTCCTCGGAAAGCGCATATCATACGCAAACCAATTTATCCACTCGCCTATCAAGGGGTGGGGAATGACCATAGAATATGCGCTTTCCGCCAAGAACACCAGCTTACAAGGGCCAGCTCGAGTTCGAAGTAGAAAGAACACGGCAACAATGCCAATGCAGGAAGGGAGCCCTGCCGCATTCCCACGCCTTGCAACAATGCCAATGCAGGAAGGGAGCCCGGCCGCATTCCCAACGTCTTCCATTGCAGCGCAGCAAAGCCCCTTCTTAATGAAAGTAACTTCGTCTCGGCTGAATGAAGGGGAAGAGACGACTATGTGGGCATTCGAAACTCGTTAGGAAACTAATGGGCGTGAACCAGATGTGCCACGAGCGCATATGCCCCAGGCGTAACATTGTTCCCGCAAGCAGCATCCCTACATTAGGCGTGGGCGCACAAGGCACGCTGGGGTGTCGAGCAGATTTTGATTTGGCTGGAGGCCACATCCTAATCTCAGTACCGTTACCTGGTACTATAAGGCTGCAATGGTTGAGTCTACCGTAGTGTCTACCGGAAACGGCCCGGTTTACTGTACTTTTTTCTAGACAACGCAAAGCACGATCTAACTTGTGTTTCTTCGCAAATAGAAGTCCATCCCTCCAAGAATGCTCAAGATTTTATCATAAAATACTGCAATTATGATGTCGGTGACATCACCGACTGCAAGTACACACCCAGCACCCGCTCGTCAATTCTAGCGAAAACCAACTCGTTGACGCACATAAAGGTGTTCAAAAGAAAAAGTCGACTTACAGCAACTAGTTTTCTCTAAGCTAATTTTATACCAGTACCATAAAGACATGTATGCGTGGTCACACGGGGCACACTCGGGCCGATATCAGCTCGAGGGCTGGACATGTGCCTCGAGGCGGAGCCGAGGGCGCATGGGAGGCCCGAGAGGTGACCTGTCTCTCGGCTGACCCCCGAGGAAAGCATACCCAGTAAAATCAAAACGCTACAATTTTAGAGAGTTTATATCACCACACATGCAGGAGCTTGTGCGTTGCGTCTGGCGACATACTGTGAGTCGCGCCGGCACTGTCGCACTGTGCTGATATCGCAGCTTGTCCCCTGCTTGATATTGTGCCACAATTTTGTCAGCCGTGAGACAATCCGTAGAGTGCTTTCTATTCAAGTCAAAACTTCAGAAGAGTTACAAAACGAGTCAACCTCCCAAGGAAGAATAGAAACATTGGGCATCAAAGTTGAAAAGAATTAATTCGCAGAATTTTGTGGCATGTACTGTATGAAGGGTTATTTGGCTCCCGTGCATGAGTGGAACAGCTTTTCGGGCTTGCGATTTGACCTTACCGACCGGCAGGCAGGTCCCATGGCTTTGTCATAGTCACAAGGCTACGTCGTAGGCTGTTCGAATGTCTCTGAATAAAAGACAAACTACAGTGCGGAGAAAAGTAAGGTACAGTAACTTTGCAAGGCACAGTTTGTTCGTGTACTGATTGAGGTCCTCGAGAATACAGCATACCGACTGTCACAATGCTTCACCTCGGCTTGAATCTGCCACGTCTCTCTGTGTCCGAATTTGTTTGTACGGCGGGAATCGTGACAGACCAGACCGCTGCTGGTCTCCCTGCTGGTCCGATGAGCAACGCAACGATTTAGAGCGCACCACATGTGTAGAAGGCCTGGACACACACTACTGTACCAACGTGATTTCTTCTGATGGCGTTCACGGCAAATTCTGCATAAAGGGCGTGTCCCTTGATGCTGTCCAAAATTAGGCGGGCGACAGACTCCAGCAGACTTCTGCAAATTCCCTGCCTTACTTCTGACCGACTGCCTGTGGTGATCCCCCAAAATCACAACTAGACAGTTATGATGGGAGAATTGGGGATTTCATTTTTTTGCAATTTGGAGTCATTCCTTTGGTTTGATTGCGTTCGGGTGTGCATTCTAGACTGCAGATTGCGTGTCCTTGACCAACTCTATGTACAGTACTCTGCTACCCTCACAGACCAAGATAAGGGAAGAATCCTTTTTTTTGCATCAACAACCAGAATGCACCCCCTTCCAAATTGAAGCATAGCTAGGCTTGTCGAATCGGAAACAAAAACTTGGTTACTAATTCGGTTACTGGTACAGGTCTTATCTCAGTTAGAGCCCACTCAACGCTGAATTGCGGTACAGGGGGGGTCACCATATAGTGCCTACTTTAGTAGTGTCTCTCTCTAAATACTGAAGTGCTATACCTCCGCTCTTGTCACGTGTTCTCAAAACATATCCCCGTGCCCACGTGTAAGATGCACCCGTGCTAAACCGTGGCACGCTTCGGCGACGTCCAACTCTACAGTAGTTTCAGACGTCGTTCCGAATTTCATGCGTTCATGACGTTCAGTGGTTCCGACGTTCAGTGGTTCCGACGTTCAGTGGTTCCGAGTCGGAACCTGAAATGTCGGAACTTCCGACACGCAACACTGTCGCCCGATACCTACTGCTGTAAGCTCACGGAACTGTTTTTGGAGCTAGAGAAATTGGCGTAAAGCCTATTTATGATTTATGAGTGCAATGTACAGGGAGCAGGTTCTATGTTACGGCGCACGAAGAAAGTATTTCCCTGTGCACGGGCTCAGGGAAGCAGATCACGAGAGAGGTAAGCAGTGCTGGCCGATTATCTATGACTAAAGCGTATCTAGGCAAGCATTAGAGGGGTGCATATTTTCTCTGTTTCACTCTCCGCTAGTAGTTGCCACTACTGAATAGTGCCACCTTCTGGGATGTAGCAAGGGGTGGCACTATTGCGTGTATCCCACTGTACCAAATACGGACACGGAGAAAGTCGCTTCAACTGCTAAGTGGGAAATCACAGTTGGACGTTCATAGACTGCGGGATTTATTGCAGTCACAATTGCGTTGTCTTAATATCCCTAATGCCGGATTTTAGTGATCACTATAGTGATCACAGCTTTTGAAAAGACAGTACTTCGGCGCATGAAATGCTTTCTGAGATCTGAGAAAACAACCGTGTTCCTGACGCTGTGTGTGACCACTCTGCAAAGTTTCACTTGCAAGGCCGCAAAATTGACTCCATGACATTCGGGCAAAGTTGGGTCGTCAGACCCTTTTCCGGGGGCGTGAAAAAGGCCTATCGATCACTATAGTGATCATTTGGCCTCTTGTTTTTACTCCTACGACACGACTTGTTAAGTTCCCAAACTACCGTGAAGAAGTATTACATTTTAACTGAAACGACGTCGACGGGTCGGGCGCTCATTACTGCTACCTCCCCACTCTGATCTGAGTCTCGTATATCCCTCAGATGGGGTAC